AACCAAATAAAATTAGAACTTAAAAAAAACTTTTTTCAAGAATAACATATAAAAATTAAAAAATAAATTAATTTAGAAAAAAATAATAATTAAAAAAGAAAAAATACATAAATTAAGAGCCATATTTATAAAAAATATATATTCTTTTTTAAAACAATAAAATCTAAAAATTAAAAGAAAATTAAATTAAAAAGGAAAAAATGTATATAAAATTAAAAACGATAAAAATATTAATTTAAAAACAAGAAAGAATCTGCTCTCCCAGGACTCGAACTCGAATGGCACGCCAGTGCTCTTCTCACTCAGCCATTGCAACTATTGGCGCGACGCGAGCTAACTGATATACAAATGCTTTCTCTCAAGATAATTTTTTCACCAGGAGTGGTGAATGAGAGAGCTTTTTTCTAAGACTTTTGTGCTAGAACAACAAAAGTCTTTCAAACTATTTATCTCGTTATCTGTCTTTCAATTGTTTACGAAAGAATTTTTACTATCCTAGCCAGAATTGCTCTATAAAACGGCTTTTAAATGCTTATTTCAACTTCTTGTTGAACAGTTTTGTTTCCCCATTCGCATTAATTCGTAAATCCAACACGTTGACTGCGCTGATGTGGTGTATTTACAAAAACCCCAAATAAAAATATTCAAAAGTGAATGAAAGTCAAAATGGTTGAATTTTTCTACTCATATCAGAAGTAAAGTAAGTACCAGCTCTTTTCTAAAACCATGTGCTTTGCTATTTGATGAACTAATGCTTACGCTTCCATTACGCGCTGAAACCCATTCTGGTAAGGGTCAAAACATAGGGGAGCGGCGAGCAAAGCGAAGAGCTAGCATCGAACGAAGCTTCAGTTACAAACGTGTATGTACGCTTTGCTCTTCACTATGCGCTCTTCCATTGAAACATATGCGTTTGAAATCCACTCTTTGCTCGATGCTCTTTGCTCGCTGCTCCACTCTGTTCTTGGCCTAAGACGGTGAACAGAGACCTGCTTAGACTTTCTTCACTTAGATCACATTAAGATATTTAATGATGATAAATAAGTCCCCTCAATTTATCCATAATCAATAATCGTCTATATAATTTCCAGAACGACGCATTTCGGCCTATCAGTTACGACCAATCGATTCCGGAGATGATGAAACCTCATCATCAGGAAAAGAAGACAGCTCGCCCGAGTCTCCACATCCACAACGCCAGCCCGGCGCACCACAGTATGGCCAATATTTGGCCATCAACGGGCAGGCACCCCATCAGGGACGCGCACGCACCAAGAAACCGCGCAGTAAATCTTTACAACCACATTCAAATCTTGTACCCTGGCGCAAATCATCTCGCCCTAGACGTGGTCGTTCCCTAGACAAGCAACCCTTCTTTCCCGGTTACAAACCAGAACCAATCAAATCATGGACTGAAGAAACTATAAGTCTGAAACCAACACCAATTGAAAAGAAAGTCATTCCAAAGTTGGAGGCAGCTAAAGTTGAGCTCAAATCCATCAAGGATCAGCGCAATCAGGGTTTGATGAGTATTGGTGCTACACTCGACAAGATCATCGCTGGTAAGAGTGAAAAGGAAGCCATTCCTTGGGTGGTGATGCGTGAGAAATTGAAACATGTCGAAAGCGTACAAAAGCAATTGGACAAATTCGATTTGGATGAAGTTTACCTACGACCAATCGATCAGCCGATAATCATAGACAAACAAACGCCGCAACAGGCGCAACAAGAGCAAATCGAACGGACTAAAGAAATTCAGAGACTGCGTAGCATTGAAAGTTTGGAAATTACTGAGATGACAGAGCAAATCGAAAAACTAATAACCAAGCATCAAAAGGAAGACACCATTCCATGGAAGGAAATGCGTCAGCATCTGAAGAGTGTTCAGCGTGTGCACAACCAAATCGAGAAATTCAAAATTGAAGAAGTGGAGCTGCGTCATTTAGAGGCGCAAACCACAACTACACAGAAAGTGAGCAGCGCAACACAAGACACAGTCTATATGACTGTGGATGAGAGCTCAAAGGGATCCATACAGAAGGTGCTGCGCAAAGAAGACATCCAGCAGTATGGTGAGGACGTCACCGATCTGCATAAGCAACAGTACATCATAAGTGAAGACATTAACATGCTGAGTGTTGCTGAGCGTGAGCGGCTTGAAGCTCAACGCATCATACAACAGCAGCAGCCTGTAAACTGGCGCCAGGGACAACCGAGGCCAAAACTACAACCATTAACATCGAGAGAGGATACTTCCATACTGAAGACGGGCGCAACAACTCAAGAGCAGTTCACACAAAGCTTGCAACAGCAAAAGTACACCAGCGTTGAAGACACGAAAATGATGAGTATTCAAGAGCACGAGCACCTTCAAATGATGAAACGTACACAGGATGAAAAAACTGTGGATTGGCGCCAACAGAGGCAAACACAAGAATTCCAGCAAGTAGAAGATTCGACCAGACTAGCCATTCAAGAGCGGCAAGATACTGAAGAACAGCAATTCACACAACCACAACCAACTATGTGGGATCGTGGCAGTAAGAAGCCGCTGCCTCAACAAGCACAGCCTCGACCGCAACAACCCGCTGCACAATATCCAGAGCAGCCTAAGACATACGAGGAAGCAGTTGATGTGTTGCCGGAGCAACCTGCGCCTGTGCTACCAACAGACGAGCCTACACCAGTTATGTGGGAACGCGGTAGAAAGAAGGTAACTACTCAGCACCAGCAAATGAACGGTACTCAGCAAATGTCAGAGGTGGCCGAACAGCAATTTATTGATCAACAGCAAATTATTGAGCAACAACAATTTGTTCAAGAAACCAAGAAACCTACCGTACGCAAAACAATTGCACCGCGTGAGCCTGAACAAAAGATGGAACAAGTTGTACTGAAGCCTACACCTCGACCACGTCCCAAATTACCAGAAAAGACTGAAGAAATCCAAATTCAAACACTGAAACGCACACAGGCTACACATACTGTCGAAGAACAGCCAACGCGCGGCTTTGAAGAAGCTGTGGATACACTCGAGGAAGTGGAAAGACCACAACAACCTGAGGCACCACAGCCAGTTATGTGGGAACGGGGAAAGAAAAAGCCTATTAAAGCAGATGAAGTAACTGCTGATCAACCAACAAAAGCTTATGAGGAAGCTGTAGATGAGCTGCCAGAGCAGGCTGCCCCTCAACAGCCAGAACAACCTCAGCCCGTATTGTGGGATCGTGGCAAG